GACACATAATCAGACGTTTTCTGAAATAACATACCATTTTTCCCCCATATTTTGATTCTATGATTCAAATTATACCCAAAAATTGCACGAGTAGTTTTTAAAAAATTAAATCTCAAAATTTTAGCTCCTCCATGTTAATTGAATTTGGTATTTATTAATACCTTTTTTATTAAACATTTGACTCTTCCTTTCATATTTCAAAATTAAATTTTAAAATTTACATTTTCAAATAATTTTCAGAAATTTTTCAAAAACAAATTTCAATCATAACCTATAAAATGTTAGCCATCATCTTAAAGTAGATGTATTTCTAAGCCTACCTGCAAAAAAATTAATCCAAAATTCCTAAGATGTATGTGAATTTACATATTAGCGTGTTTTGAAATTTGGCATATTTGTTATAAGCAGTATTGTGTGTGTCTGTGATTATGGCAAAGCCTCGAGGGCTGGGTGGAGAGGCCTTCGTGACCTTCCCTCGAGGGGAGATATGCCTTTGTGGAGAACTTTCTAAGGGAAACTGGCTCGTATACACGTTACACATGGGGAAAACCACGAAAACGCCCATGCAGCCAGCCCGTTCGCAGGATTCGAACCTCGCACTGAACTACCAGTGTTCAGCGACTTTACTGTTCAGTGTTATAAGCAGTAATAACGCCAAATGTGGTTTATGCGCTTTGTTAAAATTATTTGAAAGTATGAACAATGACTTTTTTTTCGCTCATTTACAATTTAAAAATGGAAAGGAAAATAGGTAGCTATAAATTAAGAAGTTTGCCAAGTGAATTACTCTTGGCACAAACTGAAAAAAAAATGTGCCAAGATAACTGTTTAAATTTCTCCATAAATTACAAAATTTAATATCTTGGCATAATTTGAGTTGTAAAATCAAAATATGGGAAAAAATGGTATGTTATTTCAGGGAAAGTGTGATTTTGTGTCAAAATACCTATGTTAGAACAAAATTTTCTAAATCAGTCCAGTAGAATGGAAGATATAGAACTGCCTAATTTTTTTTTTTTTTTTTTTTTTTTTTTTTTTTTTTTTTGTGCAAGGCGTTCTTCACATTATACAATAAGAACACTTTCATGAACATAAAATTAAGTTTTAATGCATAAAATGTTAAAGAACTAGCCTGGCCCCTGTAATACATTGATGAAACACCACTGATCTGCAGATATATTTCTTAAACCTGAATACTTTTCATATAAAATCTACACGAAACTTTGATCGATGGAAAAGCATTCCAGTGTTACAGAGAAATATCAAAACTACTGAATAATATACATTCTTTGCCTATAAAAATGCTTAATTTCAGATGCCATTCTACAGGGTGGGCCAAATAAGACCTACCAATGTTAGCAGAATCGGTTGATCTTTGGATTATGGTAACTTGGCAATTTTTTGGCGAAAATTTGGCGACCAACTCTGCTACAGCAACCCTCTATTTTTTTTTCGCTGCCATTTTGTCTTCACGAAGTAAAGACATGTTTCTTTTCTTTTTATTTACTGAACACTTTTTCCAACAATCTACTAGCCGAATTACACTTATGCTAGAAATTTTATGTAACAAAACTGCTTAATCATGACAAATATTAACTGCAAAATTGGGAAAAGTGCACAATCGCAAACTCCTTGAGCGTTTTTCAGAATAGCACCTACACATAAACCATTTACACATCAACCTATTTTTACTTTAAAAAACATCCCAGAATTGCACAAAAATGGCATTGCACACACTCTTAACTTTATCCATTTACACTGCTATTTTCTCATAAATTACAAAACTTTGCACGAAAATGCAAAAACATTCTGTGAATCTTTAAACTCGGTAAAAAGCACATATATGAAATTACCTGATCGCGAAAAAGTATATACCCTTTCCAGGGATGAACATTTCCACGTATAAAATATCCAAAAACTTTTACCTCTAAATTATCTATTATATTATAAACGTCACCAACGAATTCATACCGCAAACATTACGAATGGTTACAAATACTTAGTGTCAAATATTTAAATTATTTCCATGCACGTTTACTTCAACTGAAATGTTTACCAAATTCCTACAAACATAAAATTCACAAAATAACTATCATTTAATTAAAATATCACTAAACCATGTACATGTCGACTTATTTTTACTTAAAAAACCATCCCAGAAGTGCACAAAAATGGCATTGCGCACACTCTTCATTATATCCATGTACACTGCTTTTTTTCTCATAAATTAGAAAAATTTCACGAAAATGCATGAAAATTTTGTGAATCTTTAAATCCGGTAAAAAAAACATATATGAAATTACCTGATCGCGAAAAAGTATATACCCTTTCCAAAGATGAACATTTCCCCGTATAAAATAAATAAAATATCCAAAAACTTTTACCTCTAAATTATCTATTATATTATAAACGTCACCAACGAATTCATACCACGAACATTACAAATGGTTACAAATACTTAGTGCCAAATTTAAAATTTTAAATTAATTCCATCAAATATTAAAATTATTTCATGCACGTTTACTTCCACTGAAACGTATACCAAATTCCTACAAACATATAATTCACAAAATAACTATCATTTAATTAAAATATAATTAAATTCAAAAACACTACTTAAAATATAAATAAGCACATACATTAAATTAATAAAAATTAGCTTACAATCCTAATTACTTTAAACTAAATAATTGCTAATAACAATTTTCCAATAATACCATATTACTTTATTTCTCCTTACATTTAGAACAATGCATAAAATAATATCCTCAAATAATTAAAAATACTAACTTACCTAATCTTCTTCAGAATCTTGATTACGTGGCCGATAAACTTTTCTATTTTCCTCCCCTAAATAAAAAGCAAGCGTATGTACGCCTGTTTCAGGATCTTTAAATCATACTTAGTTCACAGCAAGGTACCAGGTAAAATAAATAACTTAATAAAACATCTTTACTTCTATCTCGCACAACCTTAAAAAAACACTTATTACTACTACCCCTTTCAATCCCACAAAATACCCATTTTTCGAATTCACTTTAGTTAGGGCCATGGGATCCAAAAATTAACCAACACTGTTTCACACAACACACTATGAAGCTAAATACAAAATGCTAATACGCAATAAAAATTTCCAGATTTTCCCCCCTTTTCCGATTAAAGAAACTGTAATTCGTCCATTAATGTCACATGACATGATCTCATGATCTCTCATTTCCCTCACACAAAATAATGCGTAATCGGAACTGAGTACTTCTCACATTATTACCAAAGTCCTAGGTAGTAACCTTTATCGCCTCCAAACTACCAGTTACCATATTCCTAAGATCAGCTGCAGAATCCTTTTTGTAAGGGGATATTTAAAAATGTAAATAAACCAGAGACTATTAGACAGCTGAAGCAGAATATTCGAGATGAAATACTGAGCCTCTAACCAGAAACATTACATGGTGTAATGGAAAATGTGTTAAAAAGACCCAATCTCTCGAGAAAAATGGTGGATATTTGTCTGATGTCATATTTCATACATAATTCCCATAAAATATATTTAGTGTATAAAATATTTTTCAAAATAAATGATTATTACAGTGTTTAGTTATCCGTGTTTAACAATAGAGGTCTTATTTGGCCTACCCTGTATAATATATAAAAGTACAGGGTGATTCTTTTAGAACTGACCTATTTCACTGAGCTATAGTTTTGCTAAAAAGTATTCAGTTTTAATGCAGTTTGTGGCAAAAGATTCAGGAAGGAATAAAATTTAGTGATTTGCCCTGTTTTCTGATGTGCAATGCAGAAAAAAAAAAAAAGAAGTAAGAAATAACAAAAACCACAATATTCTGCGAAATTTCATACAAGAGGGACTGCATACTGTTTAAGTCAGAACAGTTTGACGTTTTGCCACGTGCCATACATCAAAACAAAGTATGGATTTGATCAGGAGTTTCTTTGGGGCACCACATTATTTCCAAAGGTTTGTGGCCTCCACAGTCCACCAGATTTCTTATGAGGTTTTCTGAAGGGTCGTGTCTATGACGATAAACCATGGACACTGGACGAATTAAAGGCCAACATTTCTAGGGAAATTGCAAACATCAACTGCTGACACCAGGGGCGTAGCTAGAGGGGGGCATCTGTCCCCGGGCGCAGAATCCAAGGGGCGCCAAACTGATGTTACGACATTTTAGAATTAAATGTTTTCCATCCCTGGCAAGCAGTAGGGGGCGCGAAATCTTCAGTTGTCCCTGGGCGCTGAAAACCCTAGCTACGACTCTGGCCGACACACTGCAGAGCAGTCAACATGGAGCAGTAAGTTCGGTCATGGCTACACCAGGAAGTTGGTTATTTTCAACACCTACAGTAATGTAAGTGATTATAAACCTTTACTAGTCATGTTTGGTATCCGACATGGCAATCAAGAGTTTTTAACAATGTTTTATAGGTTCAAGCCATCCCTCCTTGTATAGTACTCCGCAGTTTTCGTTATTTCTTCTTTTTACGGTCTTGCACATCAAAAAATGGCACGGACCACTAAATTTTTCTCCTTCCTGAATCTTTTGCTACAATGATACTTAATGATGTTTAAAATGGATACTTTTTAACAAACCTACAGCCAAATGAAGTAGGTCAGTTCTAAAAGAATCACCTTGTATCTCTGACATTTTCTAAGGAAACTGTCTCACGATTTATGAAAAGAAATTACATAAAAATATGCCTACCTGATTCTGAATGAATTTGTTAAAAAAAATTTACTTTGCTTCTTCATTAAAAAATTGAAATTATTAGCTATTATTAAACATTATAACAAGTGATTAAAACATTATTTATATGTAGAAGGTAATATAATTTTGAAATCTTTTTTCAGAAAATATAAAACAATCGACAACTAAAAATTTTCAAAATAAGCAACATTAGCAATTTTATACTTTCAGATTCTTATACAAATTTAAATACCATCACAGAAGAAACTTACCAATAACTTATTATTTACATATACTGAATACAGAACCTTATTATTGGCATATAATTTACATAAATAATAATATATCCAGTCTATATAAATAACAGCATTAAACAATTTATTAGGTTATTTATTATACTGCAACATATAAGGTGAAAAATATATGTAAATACAGCTATACTTATTTGCTACTGTTAAGAATTAGTGGTAAATTACTATTTACATATATCAATAACTACAAATGTGCAGTGGTAAATAATGGTGCTGTATGCATAATTTGTTACATAACACATGGAGAGTTCACACAGATATATGAATCAGTAAATGGCATCTTGTGAAAATGAGTCACTGTGTACCCTACATTGCAGACTACTTTTTTCTTCAAGTCCACGATATAATTTTTTATTACTTAATAGAAAGTCACTATGATTTTAAGTTTCCTTTTACATTAATTCTTCAATCTATATACAAAGTACTTTTTAATATAATAAAAAGAAATATACTTTTCTTTCGGTATTCTTGAAGTATATTACAGTATGCACTGAATTCTTTCATAATTCTACTTAAAGTACCCATTTGTGAAAATTCTTTTGCACTTCTCATTCATAACGCATCCTTATGCCTTTATTTTTCCTGTCTGCGGCGATCTCGAGATATTTAAAAAATTTTCTCAAGACCTTGCGAGGAATCGATTTTTGCAATATCTTATATTTTAAAGTATTTTTACACTACATAATTTTCATTTTTGTTCAGTAGGTTAATTGCCTATGACAAAGCAAGCAAGGGCTACAAGCTTTATGGAGAAGTTTCTGACAATAATTAGCCTGCAGTCATGTTCGACATGGAAGAGGCACAAAACTTAAACATCCAGCCTGTTTTCTGCAAGCTGAATCCGCGATAAGCTACCACTAGACAAATATCTATTCTCACCCTGATTCCTTATTTGCATTGTATGAAAATAAAGTTTTTGATATATCAAATTTTTGCTTACTGTTTATTAATTACTATTATTTTTTTTATTTCATTTTGCATATTTAGTTATTTAAACAGCAATTAACTACTTTTTTTCATATATTTGTTTTGTTGAGTTTCATGGATCAAGAGAAATACACTAATTGAAAGAAATTACTAGCAGATACTTTACACAAAGGGGAGCAAATATGTGTCCTTCAGGATAAAACATCTAATGTCAAGCCAAAATGCATCAATTCAGCCAAAAAGGTGCATGTTATGGTTAGAAAAGTATTTTCTGATTCACCAAATTTATGTATTATACACAAAAGATTCATCCTCTGCATGTATTTGCTTATGCTTCAGTAAACTAACTTTCTGCTTAAATGACTTGATGCATAAGTCACATTCGTAAAATTTCTCTCCTGTGTGAATACGCTTGTGTGTTCCTAAACTAGACTGCTGTGTAAAAGACTTATTGCATATATCGCATGTATAAGGTTTTTCTCCTGTGTGGATTCGTACATGCTTCCTTAAAGCAGCCTTCTCTATGAAGGACTTCTTACATATATCACATGTATGATGTTTTTCCCCTGTATGGATACACATATGAATTTGCAAGTGATACTTAGCAGTAAATGACTTGTAGCATATGTCACATACAAAAGGTTTTTCTCCCGTATGGATACGTATATGCCTTACTAAACCAGCCTTTCTTGTAAATGATTTACTACACATATCACACGTATGAGGTTTTTCTCCTGTATGAGTTCGTATATGCTTTTTTAAAGAACTCATCTCTATAAATGTCTTTTCACAAATACTGCATTTGTGACGCTTCTCTCCCGTGTGAGTACACATGTGCATTTGTAAATTATGCTTTGTAGTAAATGATTTACAACATACGTCACACACAAAAGGTTTCTCTCCAGTGTGAAGATGCAGATGCGCTCTCAGACTGGTCCTTCGTGCAAATGATTTATGACATACATCACAAATGCAAGGTTTCTGTCCCGTGTGGATGCGCATATGAAGCAGTAAATTACTCTTCTGAGCAAACGGCTTGCTGCATACATCACACACATGAGGTTTATTTCCTGAATGAATATACATATGTTGTTGTAAATGACGCTTTTGTGTGTATGATTTTTGGCATATATTACAAACATAAGGCCTTTTGTGGATACGCATGTGTAGGTCCAATAGATACTTTTCAGTAAACAATTTCTTACACACATAACATATATAAGATGCTGTCCCAGTATGAATTTGCATATCTTTTTGTAAGCTGACCTTTTGAGTAAACGACTTCTTACATACATCATACAAATAAGCCTTCTCTGAGCAGTGGACAAGCATGTGTATTTCTAAAAAATTCTTTTTCGGAAATGATTTATTGCACAGGTGGCATATATGAAAGTTTTCTTCAATATCATGCATAAAATTAACTAACATTTGGTTTTCCATTTTTATAGCTTAGATTGTTTGAACGCTTACGAAATTAACCAAAGTATTTCACACATCCGAAAAATGGCGAAAGGACTCATAACACGTTCAAATAACCTTCAGAAAACCGAAAAGCTTATAAAATGTTTAACCATTCATGCAATATAGAAATTTTCTCCGAGTTATACGCGTCGGATTTAAAATAATAAAATATTTTTCATCAACAGTCCTAGTTCTACTTTTTTTCCCGTAACCAATGTTCCCGATTTTATTTAGACGCCATAGCAAATGAACCTCATGAAATTTTTATGAAAAAACGGTCACATTTAATCCACTCTCATTATTTAAAATAAAGCTCTCGCTAGTCGGACACGTTATTAACCGGACCTCTTCTCGCTCCTCCCACTAAATGGAACCCTCTCATTGGTTATAATGAAAGTCAATCAGGCATGACGTTGAGATGAAGAGTTTGGGCTCCGGGTTACTAGAAGAAGTAACTTTATGTATGTCATAGTAATGAAGAGCAACTCAAATATCGCCAATTTGTCGTGATTTTGGGATCTTCGCGCATTTTCTTTGTTCTTTACTGAAATTTTTTGTTCGTATGCAGACAGAAATTTTCCATAAGCTAATCACTAATTTTAATGCTTTAACGTATTAAACGCTATTTTATAAGGAGAAGCATTTACAGTATACTCTGAAATATTTTTTTAATCACTTAATACTATAACAATAATTCGTATCACTGAAATAATTTTTCAGTATTTCCTGAATTAAGTTTTTATCAGGATCATCAAAAGTCTTTCGATATGAAGCATGGTTTATTAATCTTTGAACAAATGTAGTTTCAAAATATTAGTCCTAATTTTATTTTCTAACATCTCATAGTTAGATCTTTTATAATTTTGAACTTACGTTATCTTTTCTCAAATAAAATTCGTAAATTGTGAATGATCAGAATAGCTATTACTCTACACCGATTTCAGGAGGTTTTTATAACACAAAACAAGTATAATAATAAATGTTTAATAATTTTAATTTATCTTAATTTAATTTGATCTGTTTTTATATTGTAACAGATATGCAACAACAAAATATCCTTGATTCAACTTACTTATGTAAACTTGTCATTGTGATATATAAATTATACTTTATAATTGAGATTTTCATCAAATTTCTATGCACCTCATACAACTTAGTTAATAATAAGTAAATGGTGTATCATGTTGTATATGGTTAAACTTTGTAAAAAATTAAGAAATCATATTGCATGGTTTCAAATTATAAATAAACTGTTTAAATCTCCTTTAATTAGCAAATTAAAATGGTTTGGATAAATTTATGTTACTTTTGTTTTGGATAAGTAATTATCGTTTCTTTTAGAATTTTCTGTTCAATAGCTCATTTTAATAATTAAACATATGTTTGATTTGGATCCCATCAGTGGCCAAGCAGTAAAGTTACTGAATACTAATAGTTTGACCTGAGTTGGATTCCAATCGAAAGGGTTGGCTACATGAGCATTTTTGCAAATTTCCAATGTGTAACTTGGATACCAACCAGTTTCCTCTAGAAAGTCCTCCACAAAAGCACTCCTCCCTTTTGACAAATAGCACTCACATGCTTTGCTGAAGAATTTTCTGTTGAATAGCTAGCTTCATTTATAAAGCAAACTGAACTATGTTTGATTTGAGATTAATTAAAAAATGAAAGGCAACTAAAAGCTAATTATCATTTATTTTAATTTTTTAATTTTTCTCTTCAAGTTAAACAGCAAAATACAACTAATAAGTTAATATAGTATAGAAACTAATACATAATGATCATACTGGATATTTTCTGGGCACTTGATATAAGAAATACAAAAATAAACTGTTGATTGACTCCATAAAAATAAACAGATTTAAAGATTTTATTCCAGTTATTGAAAAATTAGTATATATATTGATTAAATCTGTGCAAATTAAAGATTAAAACTTTAACGTGCAACTGATTTAATAGCAGAGTAGGTAACACTGATTTCTTGAATTTATGGGTTCCTGTGCTAGGCGAGAAAATGCTGACATCCTTAGCTATTTATAATTCATTCTAATCTAAGGAAGCATTAGATCTTTGTATAGTTAATTTTCTTTTTAAAAAAATGTACATTAAGATGGTAAATAATGATTTTAATGTTTCTACTGGGTTACTAGAACTTGTATTTTAAGGTTATTTTAGTAATGAAGATCAACTCAAATATTACCAGTTTGTCCTGATATATTCTTTGTAGATGTATTCTGTTCCTTTCAAAATGTTTGTTGATCATTTACTTGTAAGATAGTTATAAAATAAAGTATTTTCTCCTGTCCTTCCACATGTCTTCATGGTGTAATTGAAAACAGACTCGATGCATATTCGAGAGTTTCCAGGGTTCCTGTGAGAACATTGCACATTTTTCACACCTCCTGCTTCAAAATAATCTAATGACGTCACATAGTACTTAATTGTTCAAAAGCTAGTCAATAATTTTAATGCTTTTTGCCATTTTGTAGGGAGAAACATTTATATTATAATGTGAAATATTTTTATAATCACTTTAAATTATTGAAAAATTAGTAATTATATTTGCTTATTTAATAGCTGATTTAATAACAGAATTGTTAGTGCTGTGGTTTCGTTAATTTTGGTTCCATTTCCAGCTGAGGAGATGCTGATGTCCTTAATTATTTATAATTCATTCTAAAAAAGCATTAGATCTGTGTACAATCAAGTTTCTTATTCAAAAATGTACATTAAAATGCTAAATAATGATTTAATGTTTCTGAGTTAAATTATAAAAATAATCCAATTTCTTTGTGATGATCTTGCATTTCATTATTAGCTTAAAATGTATTATGACATGGATATGTATTAGTTTACTACTCACACATTTAAAAAATAATAAATACCTTAAAACTTCCAAAGACTGATATAATTAAAAGTTCAAGATAGTGTGGTATCTTGATATTGTGCTTACATCAAAATTTTAACTAAGCTTTACACATTTGAGCAATATAATCACAAATTAGATAACTGACCTAAATTTCTGTAACATAACATTTAATGATTATGAAAAAGCACACAGTGACTTAACTATCTAAAGATAAAAATTACCTTTATGGCTGGTATTCTATTTAGGATCCAGAAAAACCACAAAGCCACCTTTACGGCTAGCCCATTTCTAATGATTTCAATGTGCTTTGAACTATTAATGTGTGGATGGAGAACCCCAACATACTGATTTTTTTTTGCTCAAAAGACTTCTCCTTATCTAAGCAATTAAAATTTTTCTAAAAGACATATATTTCATACATAAAATATCAGTAAATGACAACATTTAAGTTTTTATTATATATATATATTAGATTTATTTTTTATTTAAAACATTTTAATGAACACTATATATTATACTTAGGTTCAAGTCATAGAATATCTAAATATTAATTCTGATTATTGATTTAGTCCCACACATAGCTGAGTAGTTAAGACTGCTGAATGCTGGAAGTTTGATCATAGGTGAAAGTACTGGCTGTATGGTTTTTCCTGTGTGTAACGTAAATGTGAGCCGTTTTTCCTTAGGGGAGGCAGATAGCCCTCGTGTTCTTTGCTGTATTCAAATATCCTAATCTAAACTTTTATTCATTTTTTTCCATTTAGTGAATATGGCAGAGATAGTTATAATTCTTATGTATTACAGTGCAAGGATAAATTGTTGTTAATAAAAATAAACAAATAAGTTTCATCTTTACCCTCCCCCCTGTGTGTGTGTATGCATGCATAAAATTTTGATTTTTCCATCTAAATTTGTTTTTGCGTTTAATTATTAAACTTGAAATGTCAGTTTAATGCCGCATATGTAACTCAAGTGCATTTTTATCCAACCACAACTTTTTTTTTTTTTTTAACTGCAGTGTGTGTACAAAACTTATTTCATTTTACTTTGGATTCACTAGAATTTTTAATTCGATACTGCCATTTTACCTCTGCAAGATGATTGTTTTCAGAGATAATCAAATCTTGAGCTTATGAGAAAACAAATCACTCGCGGTAGTTCTAAATTTTTTTTAGCTTAAGGAACAATGTAATAAAAAACATGAGCATTTCTTAATCTTTTTCTTGAATCTTCATTGGGCTACATTTTGTTATTCTATTGAAGTATTTATCATCCTTGCTGCATAATACAGTCAAAAGTCGTTAATCCGGACTCGTCGGGACTTCGGCGATTCCGGATTATCGATTTTTCCGGATTATAGATCATCAGTTTAAATCTGGTAAGATGGCATGCAGAAATTATAAAATTAAAAATATGAAACCGTAATTTATGAAATAAAGAGCAATTATGATCTAAAGGGTATCAAAATTTACAAAAAGAAAAAGCTAAATATTTATTTGTTTAACTTTATTAAACATTTCTTTCAATGTAAGTTGTTTAATTTGCTTCGTTTCATGTGATAATACTTTCTCTTTAATTCTATTAAACAGACATAATTTCTTGTTTAGTTACAAAGTTCCGCTGTTCAAGTCCTATAATTGCTGTGTCGAGAATACCGACTAATTTGTCAATCGAAATTTTTTCGTTTTCAATAACCTCTGAGTCACTTTCTTCACTATCGGAAGCGAATTATAATGACGAGGAACTTGATTTAAATCATATCAAAGACCGAGTACATCGAGATGAAATACTACATTTAGTAAAGAATTATAAGCCAAATAAAATAAAAACATCTGCCCTGAAGATAAGGATAGTGCTGACAGATCAACTTCCAATTCATTGCGCGCCGTGTCGTTTCCTTTCCCCCGCAGAGCAGCGTGAAATTGATAAACATATTTCGGAATGATTAGATAATCAAAGGATATGTCTTTATCCATTTTTTGCAGCAATTCCACTTTCTGTTTAATGGACTTCGAAACATACTTTCGCTTTGTAGATCCTTTACATATTAGTAAATATATATCGGAAATTTTATTTGACATAATCGGAAGTTCAAGCTTACTTTTATAAAATTGCTCTAACAGTCTGCAAAAAATAATAAGCCGGATCCAATTCGAAGATTAAAGAACAACGCAATCTGCAACATTAACTGAAATAGATAATTAGATAATTTTAGCTTATACCGTCCGTTATACATTAAACGCGCATGCGTAAACGTATTATGCGCATGCGCACATGTATATTCGCAGCCGTAAAGGTCTTACGCGCACGCGTAAAC